GGATTGGTGGGGGCTATGCTAACATAATCAATTGTTAATTTTGATGGAAATAACACAACATGAATAGAATTGTTCTGTTCTATAATTATTAAACTAAATTTATGTTATTGCTATAACAACCCAAGTCTACTACTAGTAGATATTGTCCGTTTTGGCTTGTTATGATCACCGTCGGCCTCTGTTGAGGATTGTTGGGAAGGAGTCCCACATTGGCTAATTTAGTGAAAGATCATGGGTTTATAAGTGAGGAATACTATCTCCATTGGTATGAGGCCTTTTGGGGAAGCCCAAAACAAAGCCATGAGAGCCTATACTTAAAGTGAACAATATCATACCATTGTGGAGATCTGTGATTCCTAACAGCTTCATGGTTTTAAAACGCATATAATGGGCCAAAGAAGAGAATATCTGCTAGCGATGGGCTTGTCCGTTACACATGGTATTAGAGCTAGACATCGAACACTGTACCAGCGAGGACGCTGGGCCCCCAAGGGGGGTGGATTGTTAGATCCCACATCAGTTGGAGAGGGGAACGAAACATTTCTTATAAGGGTGTGGAAATCTCTCCCCTAGCAGACGCGTTTTAAAACCGTGAAGTTGACGGCGATACATGACGGGCCAAAGCGGACAATACCTGCTAGCGGTGGGCTTGAGCTGTTGCAAATGGTATTAAAACCAGACACTTGGCAGTGTGCCAGTGAGGACGCTAGGCCCCCAAGGGGGGTGGATTGTTAGATCTCACATCGGTTGGAGAGGGGAACGAAACATTTCTTATAAGGGTGTGGAAATCTCTCCCATAGCAAACGCGTTTTAAAACCGTGAGGTTGACGGCGATACGTGACGGGCCAAAGCGGACAACATTTGCTAGCAGTGGGCTTAAGCTGTTACAAATGGCATCAAAACCTGGGCGGTGTGCAAGTGAGGACACTAGGCCCCCAAGGAGGGTGGATTGTTAGATCCCACGTCGGTCGGAGAGGGAAACGAAACATTCCTTATAAGGGTGTGGAAACCTCTCCCTAATATATACATTTTAAAACCGTGAGGTTGACGGCGATATGTAACGGACCAAAGCGAACAATATTTGCTAGCGGTTGGCTTGGACTATTACATTTGCATCATTCCAATTTCAAAATTGTTATTCTTTATTCGATTTGAGAGCTTAAGCAGTATTTTTAACACATCCAATTAGTCAAGGGAACTAAATGCATTCTCTATAAACCAAATTTCTTCATTATTGCATCAGATATTTTAAACTCATCCATTTTAGCTTGAAATTATCATGGAAGCTAAAGTAAATGGAAGATATTGTCCACTTTAGGTTTTTTTTTTTTTCGGACTTCCCGTTAAGGTTTGTAAAACGCATCTACTAGGGAGAGGTTTCAGAGCCAGACACCAGTGCGTTAGCGAGAATGCTGGGCCCCCAAGGGGGGTGGATTGTGAGATCTCACATCGGTTGGAGAGGGGAACGAAGCATTCCTTGTAAGGGTGTGAAAACCTCTCCCTAGCAGGCGCGTTTTAAAACTATGAGGTTGATGGTGATACGTAACATACCAAAGTGGACAATATCTGCTAGTAGTGGGCTTGGGCTTGGACTGCAAAGTTGTCATCGAGTGTACCGCACCTTCTAATTTCACTTTCACAGCTAGATTAAGAGGGAGTGCAGCATGCCTCTAATAAATGGTTGATTTGGAATGGGAGGTAGTTCGAAACAACCCCACAGATTTCTGCTTTGGATTTTTCACTTTTTTGGGGTTAAGTTATAAAAGATACCCTAAACTTTTCCTTTTGTTTCAAAAACATCCATAACTTACAAATCATTTTAGAATATTATCTATAAAGTAGGAACCTTCAACATTTTGGATAAAACTGGGATATGGTGATGGTAACTTAGAGCAAACATTTAGATCGCCACATTGTTTTAGTTCACCGCCACACCGTTCTAGGTTTTAATTTCCATATGAAATTCTAAAGGATTTCTACTCTTAGGGTAGTTTTGAAATCTTTATGAAAGGTTACGGACTATATTACAACTTTCGAAAGGATAAGAGTGCTTTTGAAAGAAACGACTAAGTACTAAAGATTTTTTTTATAATTTAGCCTGTTTTTCCCTAACCATGGCTTTTAGCTGGACTTATGCGCTCCTTGGCTAATTCTACATTACTATTGCATGATCCTTCAGCAACGAATATCTATAAACTTGTATATTTGGGTTTAGAACATGCCTTACAGTGCTCTTAGTTTCCTGGGATGCTTATTATTCTGAATCAAGGTTTCTAAAGTGAGTGCTTAAGTGCTATAACACTGTAGATTGAGTTCTTATTACATGTGATTGTATCGTTGAAGTGTTGATATAATTAGATTTATCGTAATCCATAAACTTAAACTTTTGGGTTGATTGATGATTTAACATGCATATGTTTTGAGTATCAGTTGGCATATGTTTTGAGTATCAGTTGCATATGTTTTGAGTATCAGTTGGCATATGTTTTGGGTATCAGTTGGCATATGTTTTGAGTATCAGTTGGCATATGTTTTGAGTATCAGTTGCATATGTTTTGAGTATCAGTTGGCATATGTTTTGAGTATCAGTTGCATATGTTTTGAGTATCAGTTGGCATATGTTTTGAGTATCAGTTGCATATGTTTTGAGTATTTGTTCGAAATCCTGCTGTGGTGAAATGCAGGTTGTTATGAAGAGGTAGATGAGGGAAGGATCGTCTACTCTTTACTGGAGAAATATCACCCCATCCTGAGCCAGGGACAGGGATGGCCATCGGAGCTCCCAATGAGATTCTTGAATGCACATCCAGAATATACTACGTTTCTCCGACTATCTGGGTAAAGATTATTTGGAAAATTTCCAATATTTATAGCTTGGGTGAAAAAGAAATAACCGCAACTGTTATCTCCTGCAGTTTTGGAAGTGTTCTTCATATTCTTGTGCATTAAATTATCTATTTTTTTTGTTTCTTTTTTGAGTTCTTGACCGAGGGTACATGCCTAAACTAGTTGAGTTGTGTTTAGGCTGTCGGGATGTCTATGTGATTAATGTGTCAAGACATTCAATTATTTGTATGTGAGATGTATGGTTTGTTTTTGAGTTCATCAGGAGATGAGATCGAACCATCGATCTTTGAAATGATAATGAATGTCTAATACACTTTTCTAAACTTAGATCGGTGTGATAATTCGTGTCGTTAAATGCATCAACCAAGTTATTGTTTCGAATACACTGGTTGTATTCTTCAGGATGGAAGAGACCAGTCCAGGGTCAAAGCTGGTTAATGTCCTTAGCATGCTTACATCCAGGTGTGTGGAATCATATTGTCTCTGCATTCTAGTTCTTTTTAGCCTGCCTTGCTCTCTCTTTCTCTATGAATTCTTTTGTCCCTATCTTGCCATTCTCTGGCGAAGGCGATTCTCTCGGGAATCGCTCCAAGACGGGGATGACCGTGCAGATGGGGCATCCTCTTTCATTATCAGCAGGCTTCAAAGAAAGAAAAGCTTGACTAATCAGTCGAGTCAACTTGTTACTTGCCTATGGCTTTCCCTGCCCCTCTTAACCCACGGAGAAGCCTCTTCTTTCTGGTATACACTAAGAACATTTCTTCCTTTAAGCGTAAAACTGCCGCTCCTGATCTTCAGCTCGCTTTTCTTGGCTTAGGCTGTCAGAAACGTCAGCACCTATGAAAGTTTTGCACTGAACGTACCTCATTCCATATTTATCCGTTGAGATTTTTTTATAAATATTTTTAATTTTATATGGTCATACTTTAATCAATTCGATAATAAAATATATTTAGATATTTTAAAAGTAGAATGTATGGAAAGTATAAAAACTTTGTTTCAAGATATTTTAAATTTATGTCAAATAGTTGATTGGAAGGTGACACGTGTCATCATGTACTGGAAAGAATTCATTTACTTGCTGAACAAGACAAGATGGTGTGGTTCGGAAGTTTCTCGTGTTATAACATCCAATACTTTTCCTAGCCAATAACGATCTGCCACGTAGACCGAGTCCAGCCCATTGGGTTTATTAGGGGCAAAATTGTCATTTCAAAATGTCATAGGGGTATTTTCGTCGACCACTGTAATTTCAAAAATTTCTTATGATCTGCCACGTAGACCGAGTCCAGCCCATTGGGTATTAATGATACTCAACAAAGTATTTAAAAAATCGAAAGGATCTGCCACGTAGACTTTGTCTAGCATTGGGTTTATTAGTGATAAAATTGTCCTTTCAAAAAGTCATTAGGGTATTTTAGTCAACCATTGTAATTTAAAAAATTGTAAAATCTGCCACGTAGACTAGTGGCAAAGTTGTAATTTCAAAAGGTCATTAGGGGTATTTTAGTCAACCATTGTAATTTCAAAAAATTGTAGTGGCCTGCCACGTAGACCTTAGTCCAGCCCATTCGTTTTTTTAGTGGCAAAGCTGTAATGTCAAAAAGTCATTAGGGGTATTATCGTCAACCACAGTAATTTCAAAGAATTGCATTGATCTGCCACGTAGACCTAGTCCAGCCCATTGGGTTTATTAGTGGTATAATTGTAATTTCAAAAAGTCATTAGTAGTATTTTAGTCAACCATTGTAATCTCAAAAATTGTAAGATCTGCCACGTAGACCGAGTTCAGCATATTGGCTATAATAGTGGCAAAATCGTAATTCCGAAAGGTCATTAGGGGTATTATCGTCAACCATGTAATTTCAAAGAACTCTGATGATCTGCCACGTAGAGCCTTAGTCCAGCCCATTGGGTTCATTAGTGGCAAAATTTTAATTTCAAAAAGTCATTAGGGGTATTTTAGTCAACCAGTGTAATTTCAAAAATTGTAATGATCAGCCACGTAGGCCTAGTCCAGTCCATTGGGTTCACTAGTGGCAAAATTGTAATTCAAAAAGTCATTAGGGGTATTTTAGTCAAACAAGGGATACGCTGCGTAGAGCCTTGGAATCTCCTCTTTCTTTACACACGCAAAATACCGCCCCCTCCCAAATTCCCCCCTTTTTCCATCTCTTTCTCCTTCCTTCCTTCTTCTTCTTCTTCCTCTTCCTCTTCCTCTTCCTCCCCTCGCGGTTAGGGTTTCTTCTTCATCCCTTCCCATGTTGCAGAAACCCCGGCCCGTTTCTTCTTAATTCTCAATCTCAATCTCTGTCTCCACCGCTGTAGGGCTTTTTCATGGCTCCAATTACCTTTTCTCTGGTACTATTTCACTCTCTCCCCTGCTCTTTACTTCTCTGTAATCGCTCCTTTCTCTTCCTTTTCTAATTTCTATCATCTTTCGTTTTCCTTGCCTGATTCTGTTTTTGAATGTTTCTTTACGCGATTACTAATTGGGAGTTTGAATTTTCTTGTTCTGTTGATTCCTTATGGTGGAAATTTCCTTGGAAAGTAACTTTACTGGATGTGTTTTGATTTTGAGCTGTGTTCTTGTCATATTCAATTGGGCTTTCGTTGTTGGTTTCTTTTGTTTTACTTGATTGTGTTTCTCGAGGTATTGGATGAGAAAGTGGATGTTTGACTTAGATTCCAGTATTTTACTATTAATTACTTTTACTTCTCGGTAAGTTTTGATGTTCAGGGACTTGAGTCAAGGATGAGTCTTTTATCTGGCCGTTTAGTCAACTAAATAGTGGCTCTGACTTGCTGCTGCCTTCTTCCCCGTAATTGCTAACCTTAGCTTGTAGGTTGTTAGAAGAAGTCATTCATTTCAGTTTCTTTGTTATTTGCCATCAGGGAAGTAGTTTATTTTCATTTTAGTGGGGGTTTTTAAAGTTAATAAGACCATTTGTTTTTTTAGACCATCCGTTAAAACTTGCTTCATTGGAGTCCGGTTCTTGATTGTACGAAGTCAGAAATCCTTTATACGGAGTCTGTCATTTAATTGCTCGGAAATAACCTGTAACGACCCAGATCCACCGCTAGCAGATATTGTCCTCTTTGGGCTTTCCCTTTCGGGCTTTCCCTTTCGGGCTTTCCCTCAAGGCTTTAAAACGCGTTTGCTAGGGGAAGGTTTTCACACCCTTATAAATGGTGATTTGTTCTCCTCCCCAACCAATGTGGGACATCACATAACCTTATTGCTTCCTTGTTTCCGTACTTTGGATTTGGAATGCTCAATATGTTTTATTTTCTGCTTATCTTGAATAATTCTGTTTGAGTACAACTTCTAATTTTTTTTATCTTTTCTTCTCTTTTTGGGCCTCGCGTTGGGTTCAGATGTTCTGTAGATTCTCTCAATCTTGACTTCACTTCGAAGGCATTGAATCGATCAATATTTGATAAATCTGTTTCTTGAGCCAAGTGAAACATGTACAGTGAAGGAGCCACCCCTGAGTTTATTTTTGATCAGGGTGTTTATTATCCTACTGCCGCCAATTATGGTTATTACTGTACAGGTAATCTTCACGAACATATGAAGTAGCAATTTAAATGATGTTATGATGACTTACTTGTGTCTTGACTGTTATAGGATTTGAATCACCTGGCGAATGGGAGGACCATTCTCGGATTTTTGGTTTAGATGGTCCAGATATCCAATACGCAGTGAGTAATAGATATTTGCATTTTATATTTTCTTGCTTGAGCACCCCAACTTAAACTTTGTTTTTTATGGCCTTATTTTCTCTCTTGTTCCAGGGTGCTCAAAATGAGAATTCATCTTATGTATATTATACGCCAAGCTATGGATATGCACAGTCTCAATACAACCCGTATAATCCTTACATACATGGTGCTGTGATAGGACCAGATGGTTCATATCTAGGGGCCCAACAATATTACACCATTCCTTCTTACGACAGCTCCGTGTCTTCTCCTGCTTATGTCCCTGTTATTGTCCAGCCAGATATTGTCCCCAATAGTTCCATCGGCTTGATTGACCCTTCAATCAATAGATCGAATGGAAATGGAAGAATACAAAAAAACGAGAGTTCTGGAAGCTATTCTAGTAACCCCTCCAAACCTGCTGTAGACCAGAGAAATTCTTTTGCAAGGTTATCAGAAGTGCCAAGAGCAAATGTTGGTCCAAGTAAGCAAAGTTCAACACTTGGTAGCATTTCTGCTGGTAGTCATGCTGGATCAGTTTCATCACGTGTTTTTCAGGTAAGTTCAAATGTTTTTCTTGTATTGTAGGTAATTTTTTTTGTACTTGCTTGGAAGGAATTTTCATGGTCCATGCTGTTTCTTATGGTTTGATTTGTTTATTGTTGCGCAGCGAGTATGGTTGAGATGATCTATTCAATTAGTTTTACACAGTAGATGTTGTGTGCATGTGCAAATTTCTTTTAACTTTCAGTGACTAATGGAACTTTTTGGGATTTTGAAATTTGAGCTTACAGGGTAGGGGTGCTTATGGTTCACTTCAACCAGTAGATGACATTTCAAATGGAAAGGTTGTGTCTCAACATAGTCAATTGAGAGTACCACGTCCTATCAATAATGCCTTTTCTGACTTTCGATCAAGTGCTCATGGACAGGCTGTGATCCCTAAACATCAGCCTAAGGTTCAAGTTGGTAGAGTTCTGGATAGTGCAAATGCTAATCCAGATGCTTTAAGTGAGCAGAATCGAGGTCCTAGAATCAGCAGATCTAAAACCCAACTGGTTTTGAAGGCCTACACAACCAAGGCTGGAGATGGTAATGCAGATGGAAACATTATTATCTACACAGATCAATATAATAAGGATGATTTTCCTATTGAATATGCGGATGCAAAATTTTTTGTAATAAAATCTTACAGTGAGGATGATGTTCACAAGAGCATTAAGTATAATGTTTGGTCGTCTACTCCCAATGGGAATAAGAAACTGAATTTTGCATACGAAGATGCACAGAGAATAGTTTCAGCAAAATCAAGAAGCTGTCCTGTATTCCTTTTTTTCTCTGTAAGTTCATTGTTTCTTTTCAGATTTTGTGATATTAAATATTCTTTTTTCCTTTGAGGTTTTTGATTTAATTTCTTTCTATATAGGTCAATGCTAGTGGTCAGTTCTGTGGTGTAGCAGAGATGGTTGGCCCTGTGGACTTCAACAGGGATATGGATTTCTGGCAGCAGGATAAATGGAATGGAAGCTTCCCTGTTAAGTGGCACATTATCAAAGATGTGCCAAACAACTACTTTAGGCATGTCATTTTGGAGAATAATGAGAACAAACCTGTTACTAATAGCAGAGATACTCAAGAGGTAGGTAGATTTGTTATTTTCTATCCAGTCCAGTAGTATCTTTATTTGTAGAAAATATTTCTTCGATTAATTCGGCGGCAGACCATCCATGTTCTTATGTTCTGTTTAGGAGTAATTTGGATATCTTGCCACCCTCTGATAGGTTACATTTGCATTCATAAGTCTTGTGAATTGATCGAACTTCTTGTGGATGTGATTCTATTGAAGCGTTTATGGAAGGCATAGCCTTACTACTTGGTGTTCTTTTTTGATGCCGAAACTGTTAGTAGAGGAGTGAAGTGCCAATATTTTGGAAGATTGATGTTGTGTTCCTTGATAATTTGATTTGATTGGCGTCCTACTCTAGAATTGATTTACTATCTAGTTAGTAGCGTAACTAAGTGCCAGTACTTGTTTTCCAACAGTCAAATTGGTTCTAACTTCTTTCAAACAATATGTTAACTAATTATATTTTCTTTTGCAGATACCGTTTAAAAAAGGTCTGGAGATGCTAAAATTATTCAAGAGTCATACAGTAAAGACCTCTTTACTCGACGACTTCATTTATTATGAAAACCGTCAGAAGATCATGCAGGAGGAGAAAGCGAGGTTGGTTATTAGAAGGCTTGAGCGCCCATATTTTGTACCTGCATTAGATCATAGTCGACAGCTAAGTTGTGTTATTGAGCTGCCTTTGAGAGACGATAAGAACCTCAACAAGACCAACGATGGTTCGAGGGTGTTGGAATGGAGTGTAGCCTCGAGAGCTGAGCAGCAGGTCTACTCAAATCCTGGCAATACTGGTGCTGTAGTAGTGAAGGAAAATCCCCCCAAGCATGATGATGACGAAAAAGTTGATGTTTCGTCGACTCTGAAGATGGAATCACTTGAAATTGGCCAGAAAGTGGCTGAGAAGCCTTTGGAGGGTGCCACACCAGGTGCTGCGAGTGATGCAAACTCCAAGCACGCTGAAGTTGTCACTGTAGGCTCAATGCCAATCGAAGTTAATGGATATAACACTGAACCTTCTGATGTTTTGACGGTTGGAACCATTCCGCTCGATCCTAAAGCTCTGCAGCTTTGCAAAGAAGATGCAGTTCTCAAAAATGGGGCTCAACAAAACTGATGGAAATAGTCGAAACGGTATACTGGAAAATTTCGGGCGGCCTTAGACGCTATTATCGCGATTGTTTTCGTTTATTTGGCCAATGTTGTGATGTAGTAGTTGGTGGTGGTTTGCTGGGTTTCTTCTTTGTGGCATGTTGATGTTTTACTAAAGCAATTGAAATTTCCAAATGTATTATCAGCCGCTTCATCATTTCCCCATACATCTCAAATATAATGTTGTGAAAATTTGTTTTGAAGTTGAACTACCAAAGGAATCTTCTCTTTAGAGGTTTTTACACCTTTATAAAAATTGTTTCGTTCTCCTCTCTAACCGATGTGGGATCTCACAACCTACCCTTTTGAAATCCAGCGTCTTCACTCTCATCTCCAATCGATGTGAGATTTCACCGTTTCGATGATCCATATTTTGCAGGGTGTTATGTACCATGGAAACAAACAAGGAAGCGACCTTGTCCGCCTCATCTGCGTGTTCTAATGATAATGATATCAAATTCACAGCCCAATATCAGACTATATTCTATTGGTTGCTTATAGACATTCAGTCCCTTAACTCACTTATACATCTCAACAAGAGAAAGACTCGATCTTTATTCTACATTCTACAACAGGGCATCACATCACTCAATATGGGAAGCTTAAAAACAAACCCAGAAAGGGATGAACCTGGAGCCTAAGCCACAATAAACAAGACCCATTTGCTCAAAATGGCTCTTGCCTGGCTCTGCTGTGGCACTCTTTAGCAGCTATATTCAGGGGTCTCTGCAACATTCTGAGGCTCACCCTCTTGCAAGCAATCAATGGGAGGAATGGTCAATGTCTTCTGAATCCCAAATGCATTCCAACAAAAAGGATCTTCCACCAGCTCGCCTTCATGTGGCAGCAACTCTACTTCAGACATGGTAATGTTTGTGCAGGCCACTGTGTCACTGCAAGCAAAGTGAATTGGAGTGTTCCTCATGTCGTATGTTCCTTTGATGTTCTTGTACAATACCTGGTTCACAAACACAGCTGATGTCTGGTTCAGACAATCCTTTGTTAAGCAGTAGTATTGGTCTACTATGATGCAGTTCCTAACATTCTCCATTTGTATGTTCTCGAACGAGATGTCGCTCACTGAGCCCGACCCTCCTTGCCATGTCTTGATCCTTACACCGTTGTCTGATTCTCTAATCACTGCGTTTCTTACTGTTATGTTGGATACACATGCCTTGGAATTGTGGACTCCCAGGCTCCCTATGCTGCTCTTTTCCAAAACCAAACATACAACCATTAGTTACTCTATGTTTGATTGTGTTAAGATGAAGAAGTGGAGATTGACATGGTTGGTTTGTAACCGCCGAAGCCCACTGCTAGTAGATATTGTCCTTTTCCTTTTAGGCTTCCATTTGAGGTTTTAAAATGCGTCTACTAAGAAGAGGTTTTCACACCCTTATGAGGAATGTTTTGTTCCCCTCTCCATCCGATGTGGGATCTCAGAATCCACCCCTCTTGGGGGGCCAGCGTCCTCGCTAGCACATCGCACGGTATTTGACTCTTATATCATTTGTAACAGCTCAAGCCCACCACTAGCGTATATTGTCCGCTTAGGGCTGTTACGTATCGCCTTCAGCCTCATGGTTTTAGAAGGTGTCTACTAGGGAGAGGTTTCCATACCTTTATAAGGAATGTTTCGTTCCCTTCTCCAACCGATGTGAGATCTCACAATCGGTTGGAGAGAGGAACGAAACATTTCTTGTAAGGGTGTAGAAACCTCTCCCTAACATATGCGTTTTAAAACCTTGAGGGGAAGTCCAAAAGGGAAAACCAAAAGGACAATATACGCTAGTGGTGGGCTTGAGCTGTTACAAATGATATAAGAGCCAAATACCGTGCGATGTGCTAGCGAGGACGCTAGGCTCCCAAGAGGGTGGATTGTGAGATCCCACGTCAGTTGGAGAGGGGAACGAAACATTCCTTATAAGGGCATGAAAACCTCTCCCTAACAAACAAGTTTTAAAATCTTGAGGTGAAGCCCGAAAGGGAAAACCTAAAGAAAACAATATCTGCTATCGGTAGGTTTGAGCGGTTACAGTTGGTACCTAATTCCATGACTCGGCCCACAAGTGACGCCTTCAATGTCCACATTGGTACAGCCAGGCCCAATTGAAATGCAGTCATCACCTATGTTTTCAAACCATATCAGCAAAAAAAGGTTGATAGTTGAAAAGAGTAAGGCATTGATTCAGAGTTTGATACCATTGGATATGATGGAGTTGTATATTCCAACCCCTTTGGTATCCTGTATGTGGATGCCATCAGTGTTGGGACTGAGCTTTGGGGAAGATATTGATAGCTTTTCTATAAGAACATCTTCACAGCCATCAAATTTTATGTGGAACTGTGGACTGTTTTGGATTCTCAATCCATTCACTGCCAAATTGGTGCTCATGAAGAATCTTATCAGCTGAAAAACCCAAATGATGTCAGAATTGAGTCACCCTTTGTGGTTCATATGTATTGGATGAAGATTGAAAATGTGCTTTTTGTATTCTCACCGCAGGGCTGTCACATGGTCCGGGGAGAGTCGACCCGTTTGGACCCTGCAAGGAACAGTTAAGTCGTTACGGTCCAAACCCACCGCTAGTAGATATTGTTTCTTTGAACTTTTCTTAAAGGTTTTTAAAACCTTGTTTCCACACCCTTATAAGGAATGTTTCGTTCCCCTCACCCTTATAAAGAATGTTTTGTTTCCCTCTTCCTAGTAGATGCGTTTTAAAACCGTGAAGCTCACGACGATATGTAACAGGCCAAAGCGGACAATATCTGTAACGGTCCAGATCCACCGCTAGCAGATATTGTCCTCTTTGGCTTTCCCTTTCGGGCTTCTCCTCAAGACTTTAAAACACGTCTACTAGGGGAAGGTTTTCACACCTTTCTAGATGGTGGTTTATTCTCCTCCTCAGCCAATGTGGGACATCACAATCCACCCCCTTCGGGACCAGCGTCCTCGCGGGCACTCTTTCCTTCTTCCAATCGATGTGGGACCGCCCCCAAATCCACCCCCCTTTGGGGCCCAGCGTCCTTACTGGCACACCGCTTCGTGTCTACCCCCTTTCAAGGAACAGCGAGAAGGCTGGCACATCGTTCGGTGTCTAGCTCTGATACCATTTGTAATGGCCCAGATCCACCGCTAGCAGATATTGTCCTCTTTGGGCTTTTCTTTTCGGGCTTCTCCTCAAGGCTTTAAAACGCGTCTACTAGGGGAAAGTTTCCACACCCTTATAAATGGTGGTTTGTTCTCCCCAACTAATGTGGGACATCACAATATCTGTTCGCCAAGGCTTGGGCTATTACAAATGGTATGAGAGCCAGATACCGGGTGGTGTGCCAGTGAGGATGCTGGGCCCCCAAAGGGGGTGGATTGTGAAATCCCACATCGGTTGGAGAGGGGAACGAAGCATTGCTTATAAGGGTGTGGAAACCTTCTCCAATCGATGTGGGACCCTTCAATCCACCCCCTTAGGGGCCAGCGTCCTTGATGACACACTGTCTCGTGTTCACCCTCCTTCGGAGCTCAGCCTCCTCGCTGGCACTTCTCCCAGTGTCTGACTCTGATACCATTTGTAACAGCCCAAGCCCACCACCAACAGATATTGTATTATTTAAAACACGTCTACTAGGGAAAGGTTTCCACACCCCTTATAAAGACTATTTTGTCCTCTCCCGACGTGGGATCTCACGTAAATAAAGAGATATTCAAGAGCAAACAAAAAGTGAAGTGAAATAAATGCAATTTAGGTACCCTATGTGGTTTGCATGGCAACTCCCACCATTTCTGGCCATTCCCTTCAATGGTTCCACTTCCAGTCAATGTCATTTGATCCAACCTGTAAAACACAAGCCATTGTCTCGGACTGTCCGTTTTCAGCCATGACTCCGGTCCATCCGGTGGCATCAGGGTCCCATCCACCTACGAAATTCATAAAAAGTCATTCCAAACAGACCCAAAGATTCAAAATTGAAGTAACACTACTAACCTTAAACACGAGTCCCGGTTCGCAAGGTCCGGTGAAGATAGTCGAAGTAATTTTAAAGCAATGATCCAAAGGAACTAAAAGAGTGGCAGATTCTACAGCACAGGCTGCTTTCCATGCTTCCCTGAAGGCAGCAGTGTCATCAGCACAACCATCCCCAACTGCTCCAAAATCAGTGACATCAAACACACAGTCAGCAGTGGAGTTTCCAGGACCATCAGGGTAAGGATCAGCTGGCACTGAAGGAGCTGACTCAGCTGGAGTTGAAGGAGCTGGCTCAGCTGGAATTGGAGGTGCTGACTCAGCTGGACTTGGAGGAGCTGACTCAGCTGGACTAGAAGGAGCTGACTCAGCTGGACTTGGAGATGCTGACTCAGCTGGACTAGAAGGAGCTGGCTCCTCCGGTGGTGAATAAGGCGGCGGTGCATCAGAACAAGGGTCTTCAGCAGGCTTCTGTGTCCTTTGTCCCTTATGAAAATGGTACCTTCCATGAATATTGTTACAGTTTTGCACCAACACAATGGCTGTAATCCAAGCCACTACAATGAGAGTCCTATTGAACTCCATGGAACCATAAGCTATGGCTGGACAGAGGCTTTATATATATAGAAAGAAAGAAAAGTACTGACCTGTAGAAAGAGAACACGTGTCGACGAGCAGGGGAGGGTATTATAGTAAAAGTAAATTATAAATGATAGGTTGTATGGCTGCAGTTCATTTGCATGGAATGAACATGGCAGGTCCTGAGAGAGAGATCTCAGGCTCTGTTGGATTCTGAGCACTTTTGGTCGGTCCACGTCGTAAAAGTAACAAATTAGTCCTTACGCTACTTTTGGTGGTAATAATTTAGTCTTTGTACATTTAAAGGAGGAGTCTACTGTATTTAACCTTAACCATCAGCGAATGGCTCTAGTCAGTTCACAATCACTATACGACATGAATCTTGGTTTAGTGAATTGAAGTTGGTCTTGGGTGTGATAGGATACTTAGTTACTGTGTACGATCATATACTGAGGTGCTCCTTGTTGGTTGTTGGAACTGAAAGCGTTTTCCTTCCACTCCCTTCGTCGTGGCATGAGGACGGATAAATTGTCGATTGAAGAATAGAGATCAAATTGTTACATAATAAAGCTCTGGGCAATGTTCGAGACTAAGTTGTTACAGGTTAAAACGTAAAAGGACTAAGTTATTACTTTGATGAAAGTTTAAGGACCAAAAGTGTTGTTTCAGAA